GATAAGTAGAAGCGATGGATTAAGCGGGAAGCGTCTCGCCTCCCTTTAGGCCAAGGCCGTCAGCGAGCTGATGAGCCGTGACGAGGCCCGACCCCTCAGTGGAGTTGTTGTCATTATGTACGAGTATTGGCATAATGACGCGCTCATGCTAATGCAGGGCTGGCCGGCACATCATCTGCCGCCGTGTAATACACCGCTATGATGATGATGATGATGATCATCATCATCATCATCATTTTTCCCACTAACATGCTGACGTCCCGCGATGTCCGCCCACTTCGACCGCTCCATATTATCCTTTTAGCATATGTGCTACACCAGAATTAAAACTGTTTTATTTTGTATTTTGGTCATCAGGTTTATGCAAGTCAGAGTCTGTCTCGGTTACCAAACATGACAAGTTCAACAAGTTTTGTGTTCTTTCATATAGTTAGCAAATAATAACACTGGTCGGTCAACAACAAATTTTAATCAGCGATGACTTTATGGGTTCTTTAATTAACGTGTTTTTGACACCAATTTTTAAAATGTTTTTTTTTTTTTTTTTTTTTTTTTTATGGGTTCTTTAATTAATGTGTTTTTGACACCAATTTTTAAAATGGTTTTCCTTTTTTTTTTTTAGCAAATCAGGTTTTTGAGATATTTTCATTTATTTTAATTTTAAGTTTGACCTTCTGAAAGCTCACACAATATGCTTTTTGTCGCTATGACATTTCAGAAAAACACATTTCCACTCGACTCACTGAACCCAACACTTAATTAGTATTATTAAACATATTACTACATTACATAATTTATTAGCATTATTGTTATTATTATGAAAACCTGATGTGCTCCAGAAAAAAACAAGGGCAGATTCAGAGTCAGCGTAAAAAAATAAATAAATAAATAAATAAATAATAATAATCTAGAAAGGTCTGTGAATTCAAAAAAATATATATAGTAAAAATGTGTTGATCAGTATAATACCAAATCACCCGTGGTCATGTCAGAGTATTATGAATATCATCGCTGTCCAACAAAAACAAAGTACAGTGTATTCCAATTATCATAGTATTTTGGTTGTGTTTCTGCAAAGACTATTGATCATAATTTTGAGCCGTCGCTGTTCGGGCCCTAATTATGACTAACTGGATTTACGTTGCCACCGTAAGTACACAACGGGAGCCTCTGTAGTTGGACAGCGCGCATCTGGCATTGGATGTCTACTCACCACAAGGATCATAAAGTATCTAAAAATAAAGTGTCAGTGTGAGATAGTGCTTAACTTTTGTACGACATTCGACTCAGGCAACACGTTTCATTTCACAAGAGCAGACAGCGGGTTCATGCACCTCTCTCTGCTGGAATCTTAACTAAAAGTGACTAGGCCTATTAGTAGTTGGAGGACGCTTATCTGTCAGCAGCTACGCACAAACTTAGGGGATCATGTCGAAAAGGCTTCCGCTCAGCAGCCGGCAGAGCAATTAAAGATGGACGCACGCCTGGCAAAGTGGTCTTCACTCTTAGCTCTTCATTTTCTCGGATCGCCCCGCCCCGCCCCTCCTTTGCCTCGCTGACACTATGCCTCTCCTGACGGTGATTATAAAGGTCTTCAGAAGCGAGGGATGCATGAATTACCAAAGGCAAAGACAAGGCTTGTGATTTGGTCGCCCTGAATGAGAAATTACCCCTTTGTTCCCCTCATCAATTGCATGTCTAATGAAATCAAAACCATGATCGCATAATCAGAAGAGGGTCCTCCACGAGGAGAGAGACCTGATGTGATTTGTAACCTTTCTCTCACTAAATGGAGATGAAGGCCAATCTCCCTCGCTTTGTTCCCAGACGCGCACGGCGGCAGATAATGTCGGGAATTTACCTTTCTGAAACCTTTCGGAACCAGTTAGTGCCGTTTTACCCCCACCAAAAACCGGCCTGCCCTGTTCCAAAGTGGGACTGACGATCCTGACACCACAGCTGGCTCGGCAAACTCCTTCATCTTCTCTCCATTTTGACTAATTGAGCCATTCTGCGGCGCCAGGGACCTGCCAGGACAGCGCCGAGAGTCCCGTGCTTTTTGGCTCGGAACCCCACTTCCCGGCTGCTTGGCTCCAGGGAGCACCCACCTCCCTCGATATGGTGGGGACCGGCTAATTATTATTAATTACTCTTAAACGTGGGCCCTTTGTCCAGTTGCAGTTTTCACATGCCAGCTTGCGGCTCACTGGGAGTTTTATTTTTAAAACTTGAACCTCTGCCATGATGCTTCGGACCAGACCGAGCTCCTCCTCAACCTTGCGGAGACACAACCAGGCTGTAGGTCGAAGCCACGTTGTGACAAAAGCAAACTTTTTTTCTTTGCCTTCCTGCTGCCATCTTGTTTAAATGCATCGCTGATGTAGGAGTATTAAGATGCTTCTTGCGGTCACTCGTTAAGGTCTCATTGTGCTACGCTAACTATGTACCAGGCAGTTAATATGCATGTGTGGAACATGTGGATAGCACGTAATTAACCTGCCGTGCATTTTATGATGAATCACAAACCCGGGACATAGAATGAGTACAGTAATGACAGTCATTATTCTGAGGAGCAAGACGTTGTGAAGGAAACTAAATTTAAGACATTGATCACATTTAGAAAGCTCTCTTTTGCTAAATGTGTCCCCTAGAAATTGGCGATTGGGCTCAAGAAAATATCAGTTCTTCGCTGGCTTGTAATCATTTGATCTGCACCTATCCTTACCTGTGTTGCCGATGCCCAGCTGCAGGGCACTGCGGTCCTTGGTCATCCCGTTGGTCTTGGGGCTCGCAGTGGGGGCCACGGTGGTGGCCACCGCCCTCGGCGGTCGCTTCCCGGGTACTTTGACCGTCGTCCGCAGCAGGTCGATCTCCTTCCCATGCACATTCTGCATGTAGTCCTATGGGAGCCAAAACAGTTTTAATGGAGGAACGAAGGAGGGAAAAACTAATTGAAAGTCCATTTGTTCAGTAGTCACACCGAGTGGACACTGTGCGAACATTATCAAGGAGATGTCACCGCAACCCCGCAAGTGGTTAAATGACACATAAATGACACGTGTGCAACAGGAACGGACACTCAGGCAACATGCTAATGACACTAACGGGTGTACAGTCGTCACGTCAATGGGTTTGTTTTGCATTCATGGAGTACTTTTTGGAACTTTTGGCCCAATAAATTATGGTAAAAGAAGCTTCCGTTGTTTCATTCTTGTCACTGTTGATGTTGACACTTTGGCCAGTTAGCATGTCGTGCTAATGGCTAATTACACGGCTAATGCGGCTGTATTTGTGTTGCTGGAGCCCAACAACTGATCGAATAACCAAACAAATTTGTTGTCATTTATTACTGTTAAGTAATGAGTGGTGCAAAATAGCATTAAACATAAATGTAGGATTAAACACATTTCTTTAAACTATTAGATGAATTTAGCGAGATGGCCATGTTATTAGTCCATGAAATGATGTCACCTGGGTCTACGCCAACTCTTGATAAGCCTCATAATGAGAGCAACCACTCGCTCTCTTGCAATTTGCTTCAAAGCCCAAATGTGAGAAGCACTGGTGAAAATCATCGTGCTCAGCAGAAAGACAGAAAAAACAAAAACAAAACCAGAAAGCGGCGACGACGGCCGTCTTTTCCGTCCCCCCCACCGGCTCCTGGCTTTTATTACCAAGTCATAAAGCACTCATTTCTTTCCCGAGTCTCCTTGCTAATTACCCAGTGAGCGCTCTCATTTCGTTTTATTGCGGGAATTAACAGCCAGATCGAAGCGTGCAAAGCTATTAAGATGTGTGATTAAGCCACATTCAATTAGTTTCTACAAACAATTTAATTGATGTAGCAGATAGAATTAACAGAAGGTGATTGTGTGGATGGCTTGGCTGGCTGTGAAATTAAAGGATCCCGCTCGTTCCCTCGTTCGTCTCTCTCTCCTTTTCTCAGCCTCTCTTGTCCCGCTTCCTCCCCCTCGCACACTTCCTCGCTCCGCAGCTCCGAACAAGCTGTTACGGAACGAAGGCAACCCTCATTCTGCGTTCCCCTACGTGAGGCCACACATTCATAGAGCGGCCCAGTGACCTGTGATGGCTGTAATGATCAAGCGATAGCAAGTTCAGTCAATTACGTACATCACTGTAACGGCGCAGCCCGGCTTGTAAATTAAGATGCTCGCTTCTGCACCAGACTCCATTTGCTCCGAGGCTGACCCGTCTCGTTAGACAAAAGACGTTAATAGCTTTCATTTATTTATGGTGTCTGAATAAATGCTAGGGTGGCCGGTCGTGCCGTGGTTAGGGCGTCGACCTCACAGTGCAGAGGTATCAGGTTCAATTCCAGCTCCGGCCTCCCTGTGTGGAGTTGGCATGGTCTCCCCGGGCCTGCGTGGGTTTTCTCCGGGTACTCCAGTTTCCTCCCACATTCCAAAAACATGCATGGCAGGCTGATTGAACGCTCTAAATTGTCCCTTGGTGTGAGCATGTATGGTTGTTCGTCTCTGTGTGCCCTGCGATTGGCTGGTAACCGGTTCAGGGTGTCCCCTGCCTACTGCCCACTGGGATAGGTTCCAGCATTCCCTACGACCCTTGTGAGGATGAGCGGATCGGAAGATGGATGGATGGATGGATGGATGAATAGATGCTCGAATGCAGTGGTACCCGACCATAGGGCCGGAGAAGGCTACATGCTGGTACTGGACTACACAGAGAAACCGCACAAAAATTGTTTTATTGATCATCACTAAGCCTGTGCTCCGCAAGGTGTGGTGGAAAGTGCGCTAGTCCTCACACTTTAAGTTTGAAAATTGCACCAAAAAAAACAACCAAAAAAACCCCCAAAGAACCCACTTGGTTCCATTTTCGACATCCTATCGTTGTCATCAACAAACAATAAAATGAAAACTGTGCCATTTTGGTTGCAACATGACATCCCAGTCTAACTTTAATAGTTACATTCAGCAGACGCCGATAAACCTGCTTAACAGAAAATTAACACCGGTTTTGGGAAGCACAAAGAATATTTTCTGGATTTCACTTCACATAACATATTGTTACCACAAAAGTGAACCGAGCTTTTTGTACGACTATTCTTCTTTGTATTTTCCAGAAGTCTGGATGCCCTGTGGCGCCACTCTACCTCCCGCAGGCCAGTCTTGGTACTACAACAGCTACAACAGTCATGTCTCTCACATTTTAAACATTGATATTTGCATACCTCACTCAAAGCGTGCATGCAAACATATTGACTGGCAAAGGAAGCGTTGTAGATAAGGACGGCCGTTCTTCGGTGTGGCACCGACAGCCAGCCGAGTGTATAAGCCGTATTAGAGGCCCGGCGGGACTGTGACAAAGATGGATGTGGAGGGCCGGTCAGGCTCGGCTGCCACCAGGACGCCCTCTTGCTTAACACTAATGCCCGAGACACGAGAGTGGCTTAAACAGCCATTATATAGCAATCAAGATCAGGCGAATCATTAGCTACGTGTTTGTAATCGACTCTGATGCAGCAGCGGTTGTAAATGTAATCGCATAGAGAGAGAGAGAGTGAAGCTCAGCAGTCGAGACGAAAGGAGCAGACCAAACACATAAACCCGATTGAAAAAGAAATGGAATGCGAGGAGGAGGGGCCGGCGGGCGCGACAATACTCACGTGTAAGCTGGGGTGATAAGTGAGGACGCCGTTATCGCACAGCGTGACGTATTTCTTCTTCCACTCCTTGTTGAGGGATTTGCCACTTCGCTTCAGGAGGATTCCCTGGAAGAGACGACATCACGCGCGGTGAGCGGCAGCCATCAATGGACGTTAAACACCATCAAAACAGCTAGCGTCGCTATTAGGCAGAACGCTCAGAGCAATGGGAACACACTGGGAATGTAGTCCTGAATTGCACGAAATGTTAAACACTAGTGGACCTTTTTCCAACAAAGTGAGCATTACAGCAAACATTACACCAAAAAATGGCTGACATGCATTATAAATAATGACAGACAATGAAATGAAAGGCTTTTATTTTGAAAATTACCAGTGCTACATTATAAAGGTTTATTTTTCTACAAATGGCTGTTGTAAAAAATTCCCCACTACACAAAAATGGCCCACATGCTACACTCAAAAGTTACTTCAACTGACAAAACAATGTCACTGCACACAAAGTGTGCAGCTGAATTGCAACACTTAACTACACAAATACGGCAGGTCTTGTGGAAACGCATTCCACAAGAAAGGCCGGGACACTGTGTGAAAAGCGCTCAAGTTCCCTTTGCGGTGAATTCAGGCCAACAAAAGAGTGCA